ACCTAGCTTCCCGCGCCGTCTTCTCAGGAACAGGACCTTTATGAGTACGTGGGCCCTCCTTTTCCTCCCCCTACCTACCTTGACACTCAGTACTCCTGCGCAGTGTGCATCATCATCAACTTCGTATACGACCTCGCTACGATGCTTGAGACCCTGTACCTGAGCTCATACACTGACATCGTCTCGGATTGGTCGCTTCAAGGCTGGACGTATTACAGCAACACCCTCAACATCTCCCTTTGTGCATTTGGGATCGTCGCCGGTGCTCTTCAGCGCCTCACGCACCGTTACAAGGCGCTTCAAGTCTCGGGCCTTTGCCTTCAGATAGTTGCGTACGGGCTTCTCATATCTCCCACCGGAAAGGCCGCCACAACCAGCACCGCTTTGCTCGTCGTCAGTCAAGTTATTTCTGGCATGGGCGGCGCCTTCTCCGTTGTTGGCTCGGCAGTCGCTGCCCAAGCATCCGTTCCGCATGAAGACATGGCCCTTGTCATGGCCCTCCTCGCACTCTGGGCTTCCGTCGGCGCATCAATCGGTTCCGCGATCAGCTCGGTGATATGGTCCCGTTGGATGCCTGTCAACCTGCGACAATACGTTCCCGCCTCGGTCAACGATACCCAAGTTGCAGAGTTCTATGCCGACATCACGCTCATCCGCGCCTACGACTTCGACGATCCTGTTCGCCAAGGTGCGATCGAGGCCTACCGACACACGCTCTGGGTCTTCCTGGTACCGGCGCTCGTCCTATCCTTCATCACGCTCGGTGCAGCATGCTTCCAAACAAACTACTTTCTCGGCGAGCAGCACGACGCTGTGACCGGCACCGACCCTGGTGGCGAGGTCACTGGCAATCAGCAGGAAGGCAAGAAGGTCGACACGAGCGCGATGAGTATGCCCCGCAAGGCTCTCTACTATGTGTTTGGCGCATGAGACCTGTGTTTGAACATATTGCCCGGAGTACACGAAGTCGTCCAAAACGTAGTCGTAGCAGACGGCATCAAGGGTGTCGGTCATAATCAGAGCGCGTATTGTATTGAAAGGTCTATGATATGCTTCATATATCCGCATCTACCCTTATGATTAGATGAGATGGCGAATACCCTCAAGGCATCCTCTCATTGCCACTGGCCATCCGCCACTCAGTAGTGCTGCGCAACTTCTGTCACTTAAGCGCGAGAGGTCTGTTGAAGCCATATATCGACCAATCCACGATCTACCTCATACATCAGTAGGAGCGACAAGGAGGTTATCTAATGACGGTGGCACGCACCGCATCATAGATGTTGGCCCGTGAGATTAGCTCTACTTGTGGTATGCGATATATCCCAGTGCGCAGGCAAAGACGCCGAGTACACCCGGAAACCGAAACGCGCTAGCATTTTGCTTAACATATCGGCGAGCCCCCTTCAAAGCATCCAATGTGGACCGACTGGGAGTAGTATACTCCCGGACGAGTGCCCTTCGAATTCGAGCAGAAGACCGAGGACGCGGATGTCTGAATCGCACCGGCGGAGTAGAGGTCCCGATAGCTACGACTCGATGAATACTTTCCGTTCCATTTCTCTTCGTCAATCTTACCTCCAAGTAGCATAACACGATATCGTATTGACCGAGAAGGGATTGTACCGCTCCTGGTGGTGGTCGCGGGCCAACTCGTGTGAAGCCCGAAGCGTTGCCGAAGCGCACGGGACTTCGTCGGCCTCTCGGGCCGGAGACCCGATGGTTTTCACCTGCAGTGTTCGTCACCTGCGACCACCACTAGCTTCGAAGAATCGGGTAGATCGCCATGGTACATATTAGCTAGTAGTCTTAGGACCGGTTAAGTAAGTAGGCTAGCATGGGCTTTCGTATTATTCAGTTCTTCGAGAGTCGTTGATGCGCGATCGCGAACGTTGAGCCTATAGAACAGAGGCATACAATGATTGTGACCACGCGATTCTGAGTTGCGGCCGCGACTACGGCTATCGTCCCAATTACCGAACACAGGATACTCATGAAAGCGAAACATTCTCCACCACGAGTATAGGATAACGCGGCCAAGGTGAACAGGCTACCTATGGCTCCGCACACCGTCGACGTGGATAACGCACTTGACATGGGCGCGTTGCTTGCGAGCGCGAAGGCCGCGGCACCGACGGCCAAAGACATTGCCCCGGAGAAGGCGATCTACGAGATACACATAAGGTTAAACAGCTTCAGTGGTGGTCCGAACGTACGAGGGTGGAGTTTGTGTCACGACGACGGAACTCGAATGGAGGGTAGAGTTCTTGTGCAGACGCCCGGACAGTTGCCGGGGCAGGGAGAAGATGATGCCTCGGCGATAGCCGCGGGTTCGTGTGGTATTCATCTGAGCCATGGTAGTCAGATACGACGGCGATGTGCTTGTGGTTTCGACGTACCTCTGTGTCTGCCGAGTCTGTCGAAGTACGGGATAGTGGACTCGAGGTGCGTATACGCATATCGGGCGACGCGTGGAGGGGAGCCAGGTACGAGGTGATGAAGGGATGGTCGCGTTGTAAGGGCGCCAGTACTGTGGATATACTCATTGCCATCGGAGGGCATAGTGCTCGTTGAGAAAATAGAGTACTCGAACGTGGCAGGCTTGGACGATATGCGTAATAAGCGCTATACAAAGCAAGGTGCAAGTGAAGCGGTAGGCTGTGAGTTTGCTTTATACTCACCCATGGTAGCGTGCACGCCTCGACCCGCGAACCACTAAATATGATGGCCTGTCGCAATCAGTATCGGCATCGCCTGCCAGCCTCCCGCGGCCGCGTACTGTGCGAACGGAAGACCCGAAAGTAGTCTTTCTCTCAGCGATTGCGAAGACATCTGCGATAGTGAGTGCTGAACGTGACGCTGCCATCAGGTTTCACTACCTATCACCATCTGTTATTAGCGTTTTTATTACCGGAATGGGCTGCCATGCAGTGAGCGCACCTTACGTCGTGGGGATGCACTGGGTTGCTGTGCCGTTATCCTCCTGCGAGTGTCCTCGTACTCGGTGGCCAGCCGTATGCTGGGTAGCTAGATCGTCTGTATAAACAGACCCAAATACCAACTTACAGAGCATTCTGAGCGGAGTAACTTGCTAAAGGACAGCCTCATTGGCTCGCGCCGAAAAGCACTCAAACGTATCTGGGTTCATGAGGGGAGCTGAGATCCAGTAAATGCGATATAATGTACAACAGAAGATCGAAACAGGGTGAGCAAAGACATCCATTCTCCATACGATTCCCGTCCGTCACTCGTCATGCGTAGATGATTGGCGATCATGACTGGAACTTCTCTTGAACGTCGCGGCGCGACGCAAGGTAGCTGACGAGGATATGAGCGTCATAATTCAGCAGGATATAGTTATAACCGACGCTTACCCTTCACCGCCCCAAAGAGCAATCAAACCAGCGCTAATGGCGCTGACAGTCCTCCTGTCCCAATGCGGCTTGTTCCAGTTGTCGTACGCAACATAACCAAGCGCGCCGATGACGCCGAGGTTCACGACACCGACAAGACCACCGAGAACACCCGGACGCAAGACGTGTTCACGACCGGTCTTGTAAAGGTACGATCCCTCAGCAAGAGCACGGCGCTTGTCCTCTTGGCCTTCTGGGGTCTGGAGGTACGATTCTGCGAGAGCACCTTCCGCGCCGAAGAGAGCGAGCGAGCCCACGGCTGCGGCGCCAAGTGCGCGTGCGTCCCGCCTGTAGCGGGGCTCACTGTAGAGCAAGTATCCACCAGCAGCGATGAGACCGAGGTTCACTATATCGACATGAGCACACGAGCGTCTGAGACAAGTCGCGAAAGTCACGAACCAACGCCGATAAGTCCGCCGGCAACGTGCGGGCGCAGGATAACGTCCTTGGCCTTGTGGTAAAGGTAGATCCCCTCCTCCTCGGCCTCGTAGAACTTCTTCTTCGCCTCGTCCTCGGCCTTCTCGAACTTGCCCTTTGCCTTCTCCTTCTTGGTGGGGTGGACCGGCGCGGGACCTTTCACGGTCACGGGCGGTGCCGGCGGCGGGATATGTGCAGAGTCGGTCGCCTCGCTGGTCACGGTCGTCGGGTTCTCCTTAAAGTCGTGGGGGACGACGTTCACTTTGCCGGTATCGTCCGCGACCTCGTCGTGTGCGATGTCCGCGGGGGTCGTGAGCAGTGCGGGGTCGGGCTGCGGCTGGAGAGCGGCGGGCGGTGCATTGTGCGCAGCAACGTTGGCGTAGGACATGACTTCTGGTGGTGGTTCGAGTCGAGAGTGTGGAGGTGGAATATGAATGAAAAGAGGTGGAGGATGAAAGCACGCGTTCGAGGAATATGTATAGGCTTTCGAAAGGTGATGTCATGTTGGGCCAAAGTGCCATCAAAAGGTGACGTCGCGCTTCGAGCCATGCCATCAATTCTCCGCTTCTCCAGGCCCGCCGCGACGGCGCGTAAGCAAACGAAGGAAATCACAGGGTATATATTGGTTATGTATGGTGTATCGTAGGGGTTAGTATATCCACGGAGTGTAACAGGCAGAACAGATAACATATGGATCTTCAGCATCACAACGCATTCCGTCTCAGAATACGTCAAGCGAGTGCGGGCACTCGGCCGCTGTATGCCCGTACCTGAAGAGCCAGACGCGTCAGTATCGTCGTCGACAGCGACATGAGAAAGAGTTATAACGCACCCCTCGCAGTCCTCGCAAAACACGTCCGGCACCTCTGCTCCTCCAGCCGGCGGCGCCCCAACAGGCGCACCTGAACCCTTGAGCGCCTCGCACGTGAAGATATCGTGCCCTGGCTGCTCGCAGATCTCGCAGACTTCCACGCCAGGCTCGACGCCATGTCCATTGACAGATGATCCGCCAATGCTGCTTGCGATCGAAGCCCTCGGGTTCGTACTAGCAGACACCGACGCGATTGAGCCACGACGCGCGTCTTCCGCGGGAGGGGGTGGAGGCGCGCCACCGCGCGAGGACTTGCGAGCGGCTTTGGCGCGCCAGCGCTCGACTTCTTGTTCGAGCTCGTCCTCGCGGTATATCTTGCTCTCTACGAGTGCTTCGAGCTCGCCAATCTCCTTGTTCAGGTCATGTATCGTACGCGCAGCTTTCATCTCGGCTTCGGACTGGCGCTTGCGCAACGCTTCGAGTTCGGCCTGTGTTCGTTCTCAGTATACGATACTCACAAGATGTCCCTCCATGCACTCACCTCGTGCCTTACGCGCATATCCTTGACCTGTTGTGCGAGTGCGCTGTCGTCCCCGGGTGCGGGACTGGCAAGCGCAGCCTCTTCGCGGGCGATACTGCGCTCGACACTGTCCTCGAGTGCACGCATCTCTTCGCGCAGTTGCTCTGTCTCGCTGAGCAACAGCCGGTTCTCGCTCTCGAGCACCTTGTTTGCCTGTGCGAGACTCGCGAGCTCCTTCTGCTGCTCCGACACGATATGCCTACATGAAGTCAGCTATCTTTTCACATAACAATATGCGAGGATGAAGCGCGTACTTGAGGCCTGCAAGCTCCTTGCCCATCCCCTCACTCCTCGAATCACGATGTCCGTGCCCACTCTCCGACCCACCAACAGGCACATCGCGATTCGCCTTCTTCCTTACTCCGTCGAGTTCAGCCGTAAGCGCCTTGACCTTCTCCCTCAGGCTCTCCGCCTCGCCCTCTCCCTGGCCCGCATGACCCCGCGCACTCTCGAGATCAGCCAGCTCCGCTCTCAAGCCCTCGATCTCGGCGCGAGCATTCTCCAACGCGACTGTGCCCTCCCTGAATGCCTCCTCAACCTCTTCGACCCTCGCCTTCGCCGCGTCGGCTTCGCGCCGAATCCGCTCAAGCTCGCGCCCAGCCTCCTCGCGTTCACGGCGCCACCCCTCTTCCTTCTCCCTCCACCTCCCCTGCCTCTCCCTATACGCGCCCTCGTCCCTCTCAGCACCCGCCCTCGCCTCCTCAAGCGCGTCCTCAGCCCCAGCCAACTTGCGCTGCAAATGCGCGACAGTGTCTTTCAGCTCGTCGCGCTCGATCTCCGCCGCACTCGCCGCTGCGCGCGCGCGTGTGCCGGGCGAAGCGGGTTCGGCCGCGGCGAGTGATAGGCGCCGCGCTGATGCCAATGCGTCTTCGAGCTCGTATCGGCGCTGTTCGGCTTCGGACAGTCGTTCTTCGTACAACGCGATCGTTTCTTGGCCTGCAGCGCGCAACGCGTCGACTTCGCTCTCCAACTCGTTCTTAAGGTCTTCGAGCCCTTGTGCGCGCGCCGCAGCGTCCCTCTCACGCGCTTCGAGCTCAGCCGCACGCGTATCGAGTTCAGACGCCCGCGCGCCTTGCTCTTCGGCGGCGCTGCGGGCCGCCTCGGCCGCCAGACGCGCGTCTTCGGCCTCTTTCTGCGACGCGTCGAGTTGCGCGCGTACGGCTTCGGCCTCGCGCTTGGCCTCTTCCGCCTCTTTCATCGCGCGCTCGGCGTCCTCTCGCGGGACGAGCGCGTCGCGGCCGGCGCGCTCTTCCTCGACGCGTTCGCGTAGTTCCGCCAGCTCGCGCTCCATTGCGCGGGCGCGTTCGGCCGCTGCGTCGCGGTCGGCGCGTAGCTCGTCTGCGCGGCGCGCGTGTTGCTCTTCTTCGCTCTGCGCGGAGGATAGGAGACCGCGTAAGCGTGCGTTGTCTGCTACGAGCGCGTCCATTTCTGCTTGATTGTGCGTTTGGCTGGAGATCGAGAATGATTGGGATGTCGCGGATGGGAAGCTCGACTGTGTCTGCGACGACATTAACACCTCGGACTCGTCCGCTGCTATCGATGCGCGGGACGATGATCGTACGGGCGGTAAGATCTGGCCATTCGTCAACGCCGCGATACGATCTTGAATGGCTTTGTTGTTCTCCGCTATATCCGTATTCTGTCCTGCTCCTCCGAGTCTGCGTACGACCGTATGATCCTCTTCGTCACGATCGTATGCGGAGAGAGGTGTGTAGGTGCGACTTGCGGCTGACGCGGGCGAGGCGGGTGGAGGCATGGCGATGGCGCTTGGTATGCGTTTGCCATTTGGGCCTGTCAAGGATGGACGCGATTTAGTTGGTGTTGTGCTGGGTAGACCAATTCCGACGCCTGGTTTGGAGGGAATGCCCGGTCGAGGGGTTTTGCTGTTCAGTCCAAATCCGGGTGTACCGATCGAGGATGTACTGAGACTATTATCCACCGGCGCAGTCTTTGTCCTCGTCCTCGCACTCGGTGTGCGTTGTCCGATCCGACTGGCGGGCGTTACGCGCCCCGAAGAGAATCCCGCTGAACTTGACGGCGTGACGCGTCCAGAAGTTGATTGGGATAATGAGAAGGATGGCGTCTGACGGCCTCCGCGGGAGGATGCTACGGATGATGGACGCGAGTATGCGCCTGGTCCTACGGTTGGGGGAGAGAGCTTGTCGTATTTGGCGAATACACCGCATGCGGGCGGACAATGGAAGTAATACACTCTATGGATTCGATATTAGCTCGTTAAACGTCAATCAATAATGAACTCAATAAGGAAGATACTTACCCGTTCACACTCCCATCATTCTTGCCCTTCCCCGCGAACCCTCCACTGAGCTCGACCCCAGCCCAAAGCCCCGGTTTACCATCAATCTCGCCCACAAACCTCAACACGCCCTCGAACCCATGACTCTCCAGCCTAACCCCATCGCCAACCTCCGGCTCAAACGGCCCACCAGCGCCGGCACGCGAGCTACTCCTTGCGAACACATCGCTCTGTCTGCTCTGCGATCTCCTGGTAGTAGACACCGTAGGCGTAGAATATCTGGGCGCGGGTATGGGCGCAGATGCGGGCGTGGCAGAGGACGATGAGGCGTTGGACGCTACGCTTCGCCGGCCCGAACGCGCGACGCTTTCAGGGCTGAGCGTGCTGTAGACGGAGTGCGGCGTCGTGCGGTGCGAGGCCGGGTCGTTGTGTCGCACGGCCGCCTCGAACGTGCTCATGTCCGGCATCGGCGGCATCGACGGCGCAGACGGCGCGCTGCCCGACGCTGCACGCGCGCGTCCGGGCGTGGGGATCGCCGAGCGCGCGGGTATACCTGACGTGCGTGGTTTGCCGGGCGTGGTGGCCATGATCGAACGAGTCTTAGATTGCAGTGTGTGTTGGCAAGGCAGAGGCCCAGATCCAGATCTCGAGACAGGTGGCGACGGAAGGAGAAAGCTGGAAAGCTTGATGGGGTCCGTTGTCAATTGCTTACAGCAACTTTCCGGGTTAATTGTGGCACGTGCAGGTTGTGTAGGTGCGTATGGGTCCCAGACAGAAATATCATATATGTAGAGGTCGATGAAATGATATGCCATGCGGATGTAGAAACCGGATACGTAGTAGCTAGCTAGACGAGGATGGGGAAGATGGGGAAATGATATGATGAGGGAAAAGTATACGAAAGCAGTCTGAATCATGAAGCCGTAGCATATCTCACAACGAGACAGAGTCCATGTCACCAACACACCTCCACACGTACGCAGCACACCTAGATCGAACCAGCTCTACGGAAGCGACTAACAGATGATGCAGCACTTCCCCTCGTGCGTCTCCTCGCCCGTCCGGCTGACACTGCTCCGACGGCGTTGATGCGCAGGCACGCCTTCACGCATGAGCATGCTGGCTCGCGTAGCGGCCTCGAACACGTCGTCCACACCCTCGATCTTCAATGCGCTGCACTCCTTGTACGCACGCGCGCCAATCTCTTGTGCGACACGTTCGGCCTGGGCGCGGGATACGGATTCGGGCGCTACGCCCCGCAGATCGGCTTTGCAGCCAACGAGCAGCACCGGAACCTGCGGTCCGCAGATCGAGCGCACTTCTTCGATCCACTAGAGATGAAACGGGTGTGAACGTGAGCGGGGAAGTTCGTGAGAGCGCGCGAGGGGGTTGTAAAGACGAACCTTTACGGAGACGTTCTCGAGCGAGTCGGGCGTGTCGATGGCAAAGGCGATGAGGATGACGTGCGATTTCGAGTACGACAGCGGCCGCAAGCGCTAGGACGTCCCACGTCAGTTTAGGCCCAATAAAGGCAGAATGAAACGCAATGATCAGCGCGCACCTCATACTCTTCCTGGCCGCTGTAGAAGCGCGCAATCGAGATATGAGATAAGAGATTTCATAGTGAAGGGATGTTGAGGGAAGAGACGTACGCGGTATCCCATAGAGCGAGCTGCACGGGCTTGCCGTCTAACCTGATCTCCGCGACGTAGTTCTCGAAGATGGCTGCGCGCGCAGTTGAGTGTCAGCTCGGTGGCAAAGGTCATACCCCAGTACCCCAGAATGTAATACGCACTCGGTTGCTAGAGGGATGCTGTGAGTTGGACGGTAAGATGAAGAAGTGGTAGGAAGGCGCACGTATTCTTTCGGAAACTCGCCGAGCGCGAACGAGCACAGCAAACTCGTCTTGCCGCATGCGCCTGGCAATAAGACCGCACAATCAGCATCCCGTCCTCTATTTCCTTGACACCTCGCCGCAAATGACACGCACCGTCACCGACGATGACCAGTTTCCTCCTGATCTGCATATTCCGCTCAGCACAAAAGCCTCACTAATTCGGCAGCGGAAAGTCTACGCACAGGCGACTGGGAGCTCATAAGGTGCAGGTGGCGACGTCAGAGAAAGAGCAGAAAGTTGATTTGTCCTGTCGCGAGTCGCAGGACCGGTGGTAGTGGTCGCTGTCGGGTCACAGGAACGCAGGCTCGGCAGTTGGTATGGCTATGACGTCCGTCCGTGACGCGTCGGGCGTTAAGAAGTGCACAGGCCCTTATATAGAATTAGAACTGTGTGCGCCGTATATAGTCCCTGTGCGCGCTAGGGAGCTCTGAGCCCGAAAGGTGGTGGTGAGAAGGCAAGGCGCGACGAAGCAATGCAAGGTCCCGCCGGCACCGCCTCCGCGACGTCTCGAAACGAAACATCCGCGCACGCGCACCGTGACCGGCACGTTCAGAAGGCGCTCATTCTCGCGCGGCTTCTCGTAAGCCTGTGCGCGTACTGCGACAAGCGCCTACCCGGCCTTGGCCGGCCTCAGTTCTTGGCTTCCTTCTCTCAGGATCTCTGAACTAAAGAACGGATTGGGATAACTGCTTGCGGTCGTTGAATTGGCTGGCGAAGCGCTGGGAGAGTGGTATCTATATTTACGACCTGCAGTTATCTCCGCGGCGCAGGTCGCGCAGCCCAAGGCAAACCCCGACGCTCGCTCCGGCGCGTTCGCTTGTCATTTTTTTCGTCCTGCCATCTCCTGTGAGCAGCATCTCACCCTGAACGGGGTGCTGCGTTACAGGATAGAAGCCACTCTTAGCCTCTATCGTTCATGACCGGAACATACCGCGGCCCCACCCCCACCCTCGTCCAACGGCTGCCCCACCCCGAAGACGCGAAGCGAACGTCCTTTCAGAACTTTGAACGTTTTGCAGCGGGCAGACATCCCCGCCCGCACGCAGCGTAACCACCGCTGCTTCGAAAGCTCCTGTTAGCTGTGCACTGCGTCGGTCGGCCGTAGCTATGTGGGCGCGCCGCCCGAAGCTTCTACACTCGATCGTCAATGAATCGGGTGAGCATGAGGAGGAGAACGTTGGCCGCGATGGGACTCGGATCGCTGTGAGGTTGGGTGTCACCGGCGAATCCTGCTTTCTTAACTGAATCGGGACGTGGCGGGATTTGGGAGTCGGACGTCCGTTCATGTACATTGACAAGAGGCTCTTATCAATCCCCAATCATTGGAACGCCAACTCACAAGCCCCCAGCGGCGTGAAGGGTCCATCGACGCTCTCCACATACGAGGTGGTGATCGAACGTCGAAGACTAAGGGATTCAGGACCATCAGGCTAGGTACTTTCTCCGCACTATAACTACATGTCGGTAGACCTAGAGGCAAACTTGTGCACGTACATAGAACATGCGGCGATACATTTCTGTGCCAAGACCAATGCTGCTTGACTCGGAATACGCGATGTTGAAGAGCTTCATACAGGGCTACAGTTATGATATTCGTGAAAGTCATGAAGGGAGTACAAAGCCGGATCAATGTGTATGAACAGGGACAGTAACCGCTGTCTGCAGACGTCGTGTGGGACGGCGGCTAGGAAACTCGTACCCTATCTCGCCTTCCTCTAACTCCCTCCCCGGCTTCGCAATGGAGGGTTCACGGGTAGTGGCGTTGAAGACTCGCTTAACGCGATCCTGCGCAGTCTTCCCGCGACGTCCACACTTCTTCAAGAAGAGATCGAGTTCGTGTTTCAGCGCCTCGCGAGCGGCCTTGAACTCTTTGACGGGATCCTTTCTGTGCTTGCGCGCCTTAAGGACCAGTCAATATGCGATGAAGAGGCGAATGAGTCCATGAACGCACATCTACCACGTGCCTCTCCACCTTCTTCGCAGCCCAAGCACCTTTGCCATTCTTCACAAAGAACTGTGGCGGAAGTTAGGTTGACGATCGTCAAGAGAGCCCAAGGAAACACAAGAGACGGCTTACGCAGATCTCCCAGATCTCGAGCATCGCTGTCCACCTGTACTCCTGAGAGTGCTGTGCCCAGTCTCGACGTGCTATAAGGTGGTGAAGGGCCAGTTCTTCGAGATCCTGGTCACTAAAGCGATTGTCGAGCGTCCTGTGCTTCTTTAGCACCGGAAGCTCGCTGTCAGACGAACTTTCAAGAGAACGATCTTTATTCGAGTCGTCAGCCAGAGAGCATATGATCGGGATGGCGAGAACGTAGGCGGCGGTGTCCCTCTCCGTAGGCCACTCTGGGAAAGCATGTATGTGGCGAAAATCGCGATGGGGTATTTCTCGGGTGTAGATGCCGACGACGAAGTGTTGCAAGATACGACTGAGATTCTGATACAACTCGCCCTGGAATGTAGCGCAAGGCCAGACCTTATAGCCCCTAGATCTATCGTGAGAACCTGCAGGTCTACGCTTCTCCGACTTTCTAGAGGCATCCTGGCCCGCGGCCCTTCCGGCGATGATGCATGGGCGTGAGGGGAACTCGCGATACCGGCGTAGAAGCTGGATAGCATCGTCGAAGATAGGTACGCTATCACAGATATCTGGGATGTCTTCTTCAACCATGGCGAGGAATGGTAAAAGGATGGAGGCCTGGACCGCCCAGGTTTCGCCCTTCACTGGAGGGTCATCCCAGAGTCTGTGCCGAACAGGCTTCATGATCTGCAGTGGATGGTCGGAGCAAAGAGAGTGTTGGACGTAGTCGCCAGGACCAGAGACAGACGGGGTTGCGGAAGAGGATTGCACATCGAGAGCCTGCATGATGCGAGTGAAAGAGGGTGAGAGTATGAGCTGCAACTCTTGCGGGGTCGTCGCAAGGCTTTAAGCTTTCGAACGGTGGCCCAAGCCGCCAGGTCACATCTCATCGATGCGCCAGCAACAAAACAAGGAAGGCGTGCGCTCCCACTTCTGTGACTGAGTTTGGTCCTGCACCTTGTTTCGCAATATCTCGATTCCGGATCTACGCGGCAGTCGAGCCCCGACCCAGCCCCAGAGTAGCAGCTATAGATCAGCACATTGCGACTCATGCGAGTATCTATACCATTTGCTTACAAGTGGAAGTACTAGTGAGTACTTCTCGATGTTGAAAGAATCTATGACACAGGAGAAGCTTCGTTCCCATAACGACGTCTACCCCGGGTAGATCGTATTGTCGATAATCGATGACACAAGACAGATAGGTGGGCGTGAAACAAGTGGCGATGATATTCTCCCATGGTAAACAAGGACGGTTGCTGCGCATCTAGACGCGAAGTTGAAGTTGCCGCATTCGGTGAAGGCACAAGACAAAAAGGACACCATAATCAGCTCAAGACAAGGGTAGCGTGTCGAACAATTGCATGGGAACCCTGCGGGAGCGTACTACCTCTTGCGCGAGGTGGTAGCTTCGAACGAGGCCGATCGACGCTTTCGAAAAGCTGTATAAACGCACTTCGCGGAATCCCCACGGTCACCCACCAATGTTCAAACTCGGCCGCCCCCCTGCGCCTTCTCGTCCACCCACCCCAGTCCCGCAGTTCAAGTACCTCAAGAATCCCAAAGAACATGGCAGAGGCTTTGCACACCGTCAGGACCCATTCGAGGGCGACTTCTGCGTCGTGTCAATCGACCATGTCGCGTCTGTTGCGTACCTAGGCCCGGAGGCTATGGAGGCTGCGAAACGTATCCCGTCCGGGAGATACATAGCATACGTTGGTTCGGTGAGTCTATCGCCTATGAGAGCATGGGCAGTACTGACGCAGGTGTTAGGCATATGGCATCCCATATGAAGGCAAAACGACGAACACGTTCACGCTCTCCCTCGTTTGCCAAGGCGTCCCTCCTACATCCGCGTATTGCGACGAGACGCCAGCGTGCATTCCAATCCTCCCCAACGATGATTCCTTCGGCGGACGTCAGCCCCTGGAGGCCTGCGCCCCCTTCCCATGGCCTAATTGTTACATCTCAACTTTCGCGACAAGGGATTGTCGTGTGACGACTGCAAAGCGCGACTACAGTCCCGTACTGTGCCTGACATCTTTGCGCATGGCCGCTAAGATGCAGTGTACCATCTCTTCTGACAGTTTTTATCTGGGAGACTTCTACGATCGTCGTCATGCCGGAGATGCGGAGGCGCTGGAACGCATGCCATTCTCCCCCAGCCCCGAACCTTCCTCGGACCCCTTGCCGTTCTTGCCCCCGATGCAGGAGTCAACTGGCATATCTGGCCCCTCCGCGCACAACAGCAACCCCACAACAGAACCCAGTTCTACATCGTCGCCTAAATCACACTCTGACCTTTCATCAAATATACCTCTCAATGCCGCCCTCGCGACTGCTATGTTCAGCAGCGGCAACACTAGAGACCCTGTCGTCAACATCTGGTACGACTTAGGGATGGTTTCGGAAGTCAGGGATCCGGAATTATTTCTAAAAGAGTGTGATATGCTTGACCTGTGAGTGAACTGCGCCATTCTCAAGACAACACGTTCACTGACAATATTTACAGGTTACGGCTGCACTTTCAAGCTCTACGCAAGGGCGCGGATAAGGATCGGCATCGTACGACGACTGCGACAAAGGCCAGGTCTTCGTCGCCTAGGGTGGAGCCTTCTGTGTCATCCGTCCTATTCGGCAGTACTGCAGCGCAGGCTGCAACGATGTCGCATACGGAACACTCTCCCCCGGTAGAAGGACATCCTCTCTCTATAGAGAGTCACCTCTCCGATTCATCCGTACCCGTGGTGGCCATGCCGACTTCGGCCGTCGCAGCCACTGCCGCGGCTGACAACTTGTCTCCACCACACTCTCCGACTGGCGATGTGTCTCGCTCTCCCGTTCTGTCTACGCCCACCAGAATAACAGCATCGGTCCCGCAGTCTACACAACAGCTGCCTCCGATGCCGTTCTCCGCGTCCCCTCGGTTGGCTGCAGCGCACGTCGTCGACGCTGACGGCGGATTACCTTCGGGCAAGCACGTACGGCATGTACGCAGCTCATCGCTGCGCGCTGCACGCCGCTCGACCTCTCGCGCGTCGCTGCGTTCGCGCAAAGGCTCAGCGGCCGCCTCTGCTTTGCCGACCAAGAATGACTTCCCTCTCCACCCGCATCCCTACGCCGACCGACCGACACGCAGCACTTCGACTCTTTCGTATGCGGTACCCCGCTCAGGCCACGACACGCTCAAGAGCTTGAGAAAGAGCCGCTCAAGTGCGTCTCTGAAGGCACCGCGCCGGGCTGAAACCTTCCCAGTCCCGTCGTCGCGTTCGGCACGGCATTAGGCCTTTAATTCTGTGTGCACACGTTTCACCCCAGTCTTCAATATCATATTTGTGTACTCTGAGCGTAGAGCTTTCCCCCTTTTAATCAATGGTTTCTCTTTCGGATCTTACTGCGATCCAGCCGGAGGCTCCTGTTATGGGACTTCACGGTGGTCAACCACCACCACCATACTCCTACTACTACCTACTACTAGCGTCGGACACCAAAAGGAGTATCAGATGACAGAGTAAGGAGGTTCAAAGTGTGAGGTCGGTGTCTGGACAAATAAGCAGCCTCAGACAAGGCCCTCAGCAAGTTATTCCGATTACGCACCACGATAATCGACGATTAAATACTTATTCTGTACTTCCTCTTCTGCACCAATAGTCCACGGAACTGCACTACGCCAGCAGTATCTGTACTGTGGTGCGATATCGAATACTTGACCCCAATATAGTACAAGGGTTGCGCTAATCAGATGGCACCTTGTTCGGCTCTGAATCCTTGTCCGCGAACAAAAGGGTGAGACCAGTGTGCGGGTCTAGTGTATACTGATCCCGCCCATGCAGTGCGAGTCCGAATAAAGATGCCTTATAAGTCGACGTGGCGGTCGGTAGCGGGCCGTCGACCACCTGCGCTCACGTTACGTGAACATGTTCAGCCTTGGACTTCCACCTCCACCTGCTCGTCCTCGCACTCCAGTCCCCAAGTTCAAATACCTCGATGATCCCGCCAGCGCCCACAGAGCCTATGCTCACCGCCAGATGCCTCTTACGGGGGACTTCTGCGTCGTACGTATCGATCACGTCGCCTCGGTTGCAGACCTGGGCCCAGAGGCAATGAAAGCTGCAAAGCGCATTTCGTCGAAGCCATATGTAGGATATATCTGCATGGTGAGCTTACCTTCAATGACAGCGCGTCTGGCATCACTAATGCATATGACAAGACTGATGCCCTTCCCTACGAAGGGAACGCGACCAATCTATACTCGATCTCCTTTGTCTCTGCAGGTGTCCCTTTAGCTTCGGCCTATTGCGACGATACCCCAGCATGCATCCCCATCCATCCCAACTCAGAATGCTTCGGAGAGCGCCCGCCTATTGAAGCATGCGCTCCTTTTCCTTGGCCGAATTGCTACCTCTCCACCTTCACGACGAAGCAGTTCCGCGTCACCACTGCGAGACGTGACTACAGCCCTGTGCTCTGTATTCCAACCTCTGAGTCATCAGTGGACATCTTCATGACCATTAACCGAGATGCACACTCTCGGGCCGACTTCTACGAGCGCCGTCGGGAAGGGGACCCAGATGCCCTCGCACTCATGCCGTTCTCTCCTGGCCCGGAATCTCCATCCGATCCTTTGAGCTTCTTGCCAGCCTCGCCAAGTCCCGTTGCCTCGGAGGAACACGATGCTGTTGACTGCGAAGGAACGCATGTATCTTCGCCAAATGCCGGTCTCACCGACACTCCCGCTACCGCGTTCTCGCCGAAAGGTCTATCGGATATCACGTCTGCTTCTTCTTTCAAGCATATACTCGCGTCTGCGATGTTTGATAGTGGATCCAACGAATATCCCATCGTTGATATCTGGTACGACTTGGATATGGTACCTGAGGTTAGAGATCCTGAGGGATTCATGGTGGAATGCGACATGCTCGAGCAGTAAGTTCGTTTTAGGGCTGGCATCGATCCTTCTCATACTCTGTCTAGATTGCGATGGCATTTCGAGGACCTGATGGATAAGGTTAACGCCGGGGTTTCTCCTGCAGCAGCCTCTCGCAGCGCGGACGCTCCTCTCCCTTCCCCACCTCCCAAAGCCGACAGCACACTGGAGACGCCATTACCTACAAACTGTGCCCACACACCCATCGATGATGGAAAGGCACCCGCTTCTGAGATGGTAGCCTTGCCGACCACGGTCGCTGCAACCACTGTTGCCCATCACGAGTTGTCGAATACGCTACCCCACTCGAACGACAACGCTACTCGCTCCCCTACGTTGTCTCCGCCAGTAACATTGCCAGCTGCGAGGTCTCATCCTGCACGCCCCCAGAACCCGGCCCTGATCGCCCCATCCGCTGTGGTTGCTGCCGCGGAGATCATGGATGCTGAGCGCGCTACAGCATCGAATGTTCAGAGGTCCGTTGGGCCTGTGCGGTCCGCGTCACTTCGTAGCATGCGCCACTCTTCCTCAAAAACGTCGACGCGTTCGCGCAAGGGCTCAGCGACCGCCTGTGCTTCGCCGACGAAGAGTCACTTCCCTCTCCGCCCACATCCCTACGCCGTCCGACCGACACGCAGCAGTTCGACGCTCTCGTATGCGGTACCCCGCTCACGTCACGACACGTACAAGAGCTTGAGAAAGAGTCGCTCGAGTGTGTATCTGAAGGCACCGCGCCGGGGTGAAACCTTCCCAGTGCCCTCATCGCGTTCGACACGGCATTAGGCATTAGGCCTTAGGTCTTGAATCCTGTGTGCATGCGCTTCACCCCAGCTTCAATAGTATCGTGTGTACTTTAAGCATAGCCTTCTTGATCAATGGCCCCGCCTCTCCGATCTTACTGCTCCACATCGGACACCAAAAGGAGTCTCAGATGAAAGAATAAGGACGTTCATAGTGCGATGTCGTTGTCAGGACATATAAATATATAAATGGCCATCGTCACGCTTCAAGAGCCTCAGTCGACGCCCTCAACCTCTTGCCATTCCATATAATTCTGACACACAGCATTGATCGATGGTTGAACATTGTATATTCTGTACTGTAGTCTGGCGTCGTGAAGACGTTGGCGCCTAAAAGACAAAAGACGCGTACGGGCTTGGATTGGAATAAGGGGATAGACTGCGCGCCCCGCACATGTGCCTGTCTGCGATGCAGAGGGAGCTGATACTTTTGTTCTCGAAAGAGGAGAAGGGCACGCAGGCCCACCCTCACCCTGAGCTGGGCGCTGAAGCGCTGAAGGTTGGAGAACAATACGCGCTCGACGTAGATAAGCCCGGGATCGGGAAATTCCGCGAACGTACCCACGCCCGCTTGCCATTATGTTCAAACTCGGCCGCGCACCTCCACCTCATCGTCCTCCCACTCCAGTCCCGAAGTTCAAGTATCTCATCAACCCGAAGGAACACGGCAGAGACTATGCGCATCGCCAAGATCCCTTTGAGGGTGATTTCTGCATCGTCTCCATAGACCATGTGGCGTCTGTGGCGTACCTGGGCCCGGAAGCTATGGAGGCTGCAAAACGTATACCGTCTGGTCAATATGTAGCGTATGTGGGTACGGTGAGTATGCTCCGGTATTTTGAAGTCGAGGGGCCCTTGCTGATCATGGTGTTCAGTCGCACGGTATCCCTTACGAAGGCAAAGCGACAAACTCGTTCACACTCTCCCTCGTCTGCCAAGGCGTACCTCCGACGTCTGCATATTGCGACGAAACTCCAGCTTGCATTCCAATCCTCCCCAACGACACGCCATTTGGCGGACGACAACCTCTGGAAGCTTGCGCACCCTTCCCATGGCCGAATTGTTACATCTCCACCTTCGATACGAAGGATTGTCGCGTAACGACCGCAAAGCGCGATTATAGCCCCGTTCTCTGCTTGATTCCCTTGCGCATGGCGGCAAGGACGTATCGCACCATCGCTAAGGACTCTTTCTCACTGGGTAACTTCTACGACCGCCGACGTGCTAGAGACGCAGAGGCGCTCGAACGCATGCCATTCTCGCCCAGTCCTGAGCCGTCCGATGACCCCTTTCCTTTCTTGCCTCCCGTCCCCGAGTCGACCAGCGATGCCGAAGTCGCTTTACGGTCGACTTCTGCACCTCAGGACGGCGCTCGTCCCGACGATCCTCCCACCACCTCGTCCAAATCGCTATCAGATCTAACGTCGGCCACACCCATCAACACTGCCCTGGCCACAGCTCTGTTCAGCAGTGGGGATATCAGGGACCCTGTCGTCAATGTTTGGTACGATCTGAGTATGGTGTCTGAAGTGAGAGATCCGGAACTATTCATGAAAGAGTGCGATATGCTCGATCTGTGGGTTCATCAGTCTCTCTTCCTTGCACTGTCGATCTCATAGTCCCGATAGGTTGAGATTACATTACCAGCACCTGCGCAAGGTCAAGGGTGGTGATCATCGTGTAACGGGCACGAGCACCTCGGCTTCCTTGTCGACGCTGTCAGAACCTTCCGTACCGTCAATTCTGTACGGCAGTTCCGGCGCACACGCTTCCTCGCCGTCTCAACACGCCGAACCCTCCCCTTCATCAACTGCTCCCCGTCTTTCATCGATTGACAGTTGCATCACCAATCAAGAATCGTCCACCTTAGGAATAGCACCATCGGTTCCTGCATCCGGTGTCGCCGCTACGGACTTGTTCACTACGCCGTCTTCTCAAGTTGATGACGCCGTCCGCTCTCCTGATGGCTCCCCACCGCCCCTACCGCCCCCCGGCGGCTCACCGCTTACCCAGCAGACTTCAAAAGTCTTTGATGAACCGTGCCAGACGGTGACGGCGGACACGACAATCACTCAGAGTGATGTGGTCACGACACCAACATCTATCGGACCCGTGCGGACCTCGTCTATTCACAGCGCTCGCCGCTCGTCCTCCAAAGCGTCGATGCGTTTGCGCAAGGGTTCAGCGGCCGCCTCTGCTTCGCCGACGAAGAGTGACTTCCCTCTCCGCCCACATCCCTACACCGTCCGACCGACACGCAGCAGTTCGACGCTTTCGTATGCGGTACCCCGCTCAGGCCACGACGCGTTCGAGAGCTTGAGAAATGGCCGCTCAAGTGCGTCTCTGAAGGCACCGCGCCGGGCTGAAACTTTCCCAGTCCCCTCATCGCGTTCGGCACAGCATTAGGCCTTGGATCATGCGTGCACGCAGTTTGTCTATCATCTGTACACGATTTTGGAATCTTCTCGCTTTTTGTTGATGAGTGCTCGCATGGACCTTGTAACTGATTTGGATGCTGCCAGAACGAATAAGCTTGAGGATTATGTTCGTAGTGAGATGTACGGCGTCCGAAGTAGCCATATTGAACGAAAGGTTTATTGTCACTTGTCGGTTGCAGCCAGGCGGATAAGGCTTCGTTCGACGTCTTGTTTGCAGACAAAAGTGCGAGATGCAGTAGCTGACAGTATGTTGACGTCACAATTGGCCATTTTGTTCCCGTTGAAGAATAAGGCGCAGGGTCTCATGCTTCGGGCAGTCGCTGAAGAGCGCTGAAGGTGGATATGATCTGATAAGTACTTATCTGTACATTCGGACCTTTGATTCTGAACCAAACTTTAGCTTTGACTCTCTGCCTCGCTTCACACACAAGAATCCGACCCTCTCATATGCAATACCCCGATTACGCCACGACTCGCCGAAGAGCTTGAAGAAGCGCCGTTCAAACTCGCGTCCCGCCGGGTCGCGACTTCACCCGTCACTCGTTCGTTGAGTTAGCAGCACCTTTTGTGATAGTAGACCTCGTCCCTTTCAATGTAGACCTGTATGTTTCAGGTTGTCTACGAACAGTATATATTTTTCTCGGGTTGCCATGTGGTTGGGTCTACCTACAGTCTTCGAGATATGCATCATTTGGTGTCCCAATCGAGGATCAGAGTGATGAAAGGCTGTGCGTGATTGCTGCCGACCCTTTTGTTCTCAGAGAGGAAGAAACCCAGCCAACAGCTGGAGGCCGATGAACAATACGCGCTTGACATAGATAAGCCTGTGATCGGGAACTCCCGCCGAAGTCACCACCCCCGCTTGCTAATGTTCAAACTCGGCCGCGCACCTCCACCTCCTCGTCCTCCCACCCCAGTCCCGAAGTTCAAATATCTTCGAGACCCGAAAGAGCACGGAAGAGACTATGCACATCGTCAAGATCCCTTTGAGGGCGATTTCTGCGTCGTATCTATAGACCATGTGGCATCTGTGGCGTACCTGGGCCCGGAAGCCATGGAGGCTGCAAAACGTATACCGTCTGGTCAGTATGTAGCGTATGTGGGTACGGTGAGTATGCTCCGGTCTTCGAACATCGAGAGGCTCTTACTGATCATGGGTCTAGTCGCACGGCATCCCATACGAAGGCAAGGCGACAAACTCGTTCACACTCTCCCTCGTCTGCCAAGGCGTACCTCCGACGTCTGCATATTGCGACGAGACTCCAGCTTGCGTTCCCATCCTCCCCAACGATACGCCATTCGGCGGAAGACAACCTCTGGAAGCTTGTGCGCCCTTCCCTTGGCCGAACTGCTACATTTCCACTTTCGATACGAAGGATTGTCGCGTCACGACTGCGAAGCGCGATTATAGCCCCGTTCTCTGCTTGATCCCGCTGCGCATGGCGGCAAGGACGTATCGCACCATCGCCAAGGACTCTTTCTCACTGGGTAACTTCTACGACCGCCGACGTGCTGGAGACGCAGAGGTGCTCGGACGTATGCCGTTCTCGCCCAGTCCTGAGCCGTCAGATGACCCCTTTCCCTTCTTGCCTCCCGCCCCCGAATCGACCAGCGATGCCGAAGTCGCTTCAGGCTCGACGTTTGCACCTCAGGACAACACTCGCCCCAACGATCCTCCCACCTCGTCTAAATCTCTGTCAGATCTAACGTCAGCCACACCCATCAACACTGCCCTGGCCACAGCTTTGTTTAGCAGTGGGGATACCAGAGATCCTGTCGTCAACATCTGGTACGATCTGGACATGGTATCCGAAGTGAGGGACCCAGAGCTCTTCATGAAGGAATGCGATATGCTTGATTTGTGAGTTAACGAAGCTCTTCCTCGTTGTCGTGCGGTCGTACTGACATCTGTGTAGGCTAAGGTTACACTACGAGGCTCTGCGTAGACGCATGCGCGATGACCGCCGCCCGCCGGCGGCGGTTACGGTGCAGCCTATGACTGCCGACCGAGATGTAGCGTCAAGTGAGGACGTGGTCGGGCATGTGCGGTTGGGCTCTACCCAAAGTCCGCGTCGTGCGTCGTCACGGGCGTACAAAGGCCGCCTGACCGCTCGTCCTCCATCGAAAATGTATGGACTTCCAGTTCACCCACATATGCACGCTAGGGCCAGCACGTCGCGCAACGCGTCAAGGTTCTCCTATGCAGTACCGCGCATACGTGAAAGTGTGCGTACGAGTCAGAGGAGAAGTTGTCTAGGAGCGTCGATAAAGCCATCGCACAGCCCAGCTACATGTTCAACATGGCGATAGTGCTGTTCACGTCACGACGGTGCCGTCTCTGGCGCGCTTATGTCCCGTATATGAATTGTGGCACCCTATATCTCCGTATGTTGTAGACCTCCACAATTCCTGAGTAATGCTATGATCCTAAGACTCAACGAATCGACGCTCGAAAGATCCTTGTTCAACGTTCGCGAACCACGCTCGATAGAGATACAGCCGTTTCGAGTGAGTTTGCTCAGACGCGTCGCGCGTCGAAAAAAATCAAAAATGCGCGAAATGCCGCAAAAGCCGTCGACGGCCGCACAGACCCTACTACGTTAGTTAGAACCTGCCAGACTCGCTCTGATCATCGTACTAGCACACATATGCCATGAGAGGCCTCTGTTGGCGAGTGTATGCCGGTTTGAGCCATCTGTGAGGAGTGAGTTGGCGGCGGCATGTCCGCACGTCGCGCTCTCGTTACTCACCCTTCAACCGCCATCTCGACTTCTTGACGGTCCTAGAGGGCCTCCGAAATTGAAGGGATGTGTCTGCAAGCATTGGAAGGCCTAACATCGAGGGCTACGCGAAACACGTCGCACACGCTCGATGACACTCTAGACTTCTCGCTTGGTCACCGACTCTGGGGACAATCCGGGCCTGGGTCCGACCAAAATATGTGCATAGAGCGTCGAGTTGGTTGAAAGGTAACGAGTACGGAGTTCTGGGGGTTTCCTGGTGCGTGGTCATCGTCTGCCCTTACATCCCGATCCTTCGACTCCATGGCCATTCCGTATCTCATACTCTAGTGCTCACTCTTTTGATAGATCTGTCGTGCATTTCCCTTGTCCATGGAACCCCAAGAAGACATCGTACTGGCTCGCTGACAAAGGTGTGCAGCTGGGCGTCCTTTCGGTTTCAAGCGCAGACATACCTCGCTGAAGACCCCGGGCGCCCACTCCCCTTGACTCCCTATCCCCATACGGCAGCGAGTAAATTACATCACTGTACAAGCTCGCTGTATGAGAATGTCACATGAACTCTGGTAGCACTTTACACTGGTGCCCTAATGACGCCAGTCCTCTTCCTCTACCACCTAGACATACCTCATCTCTTGATACACTTATGCCCCCCAACGACCCTCCCCGTACTCTATTTAGCCAATTCTAGTGCTTTTCAGAGATTGGCGCGAGCATGCGCGCAGGGCTGGTCAACGCCGCTCGACACGCCCAGTTGACCGCAATCAAGCCCTTCCCGTTCGTCACCTTCCTGCATAGCCAGTCCAAATCCCTCGCAAAGCAGACATCACAAGCAGTACACATACTTCAGAGTGAAGAAAGCATGATTTGAAACCCCGTACGCATGCTGAGAGCCGCCGCGGCGCTGGTTGATGTCAACAACAAACCCCCGCCCTCTTGCTACCGGACTCCGTCCATATCATCTATACGCTCTCTTATTCCTATATATCTGGACTAAAGACACTAGTGTATGTATTTCGCGGGTTCAGAGAGCTTGTACGACTGTCGACGGCTTTTGCGGCATTTCGCGCATTTTTGATTTTTTTCGACGCGCGACGCGTCTGAGCAAACTCACTCGAAACGGCTGTAGATGCG